TTTGACAACCACCCATATAGTATATACCCAAAAGGGGCCCATGATTTTGAGAACAACCCATGTGCAATCCCTGAAGCTGGCCCCCTGCACCCTGAGTGGGAAACACCACGCCAAACCTCAAAGCTGTAAGATCTGTGCCGTTTTGGCTCTCTAGCTGTTCCTCATTTGGAATACAAGAGGGGCGGGGGCACAGTAACAGTTTTCAACATCCTGGAACTTGTTTTCTCAAGCTTGCACATTTTCTTGGGGGATTTGGGGTCTTCCTTCTGCATCCAAAGATCCTCCTTAAGCCCGCAACGTGCCCACCAAGACATCCGTATTGCGAGTCTAGATTTCTATGACTGATGACACGGACCCATGCCACCTCCTTGAAGATGAATGACACGACAGCACGAAACCTCAAGCAATGTGTCTGTGTGTGCAGGATGGCAAAATTAGGGCGTGGGGATCGGGACGCGGGGGTGCAGAATTGCCCAAGAGCACTGACTTCGGAGGCTTTGCTGAGCTGTGGGGTAGTGCATGATGGAGATCCGACTTACTCCACTTGTCGGAAGCTGATGGTTACTTGCTCTATACAATTGCGAAATTCAAGCTTGATGATTCCGCAAATTGTCTGCAGATGTTGCCTCGTTGCAACTGAGCTGAACAGCAATCCAGCTTTGCGAGGCTCCATCAAGAGCATCAACACTGAGAGACACCAGGCTTCGCTCACTCGGGTGTTTATGTGCGCAGCCATGCTGGAGACCAGTTTTGGAGTCAGGGAGCAGGAGGCTGTGCAGGATTCATGAGCTGCCTATCATTTTGGACAGCTCAAGTCAGGTCACAATTTCAAATCAAAAGCCCGAAACGCTAATGACAACTCTCATGTAAGCCTTATGAAATCCTCGTAAGAAAACCTCCAACTCCTTGAAAACTCCGTCTGTCCGAGTCCACTATTTCTAGGGGTTGGCTCCTCGCAGAGTGCCTCGCAGCGGTCGCTGACGGTGCAGAAGTTTGAGGTTGAAGCTTGCATGCCGTGCGAGGTTCAGGACCCTACAAGCAAGCTTCTGAACTCACCCAAAGCCTTACAATCCAGGAACCCCATGCCTAGGCCCAAGCTGGAGTAAGGAGTCCTCCTGTATGCGCTTCTCGAAATTCCACCTGAGAAGCCGGGCACAAGAAACTTCGTTTGAGGTGATGAGCATGCTCCCGTTGCTGTAATGCTATACGAGTAACAATTGTCGAGTATACTCCTACTCCTCATACTTCTTCACATGCCTGTCTGGACTGATCATTCAGCTTGAGGATGGCCCAGCTTAGCTTACCTGCTCTTATTTCCGATCTGGCAGGGATGCCACACTGGTATAAGGGAACTCCTGAAACAAAAGGTCTCCCCATGCTCCGAACATTCTAGGAGCCTTAGAAGGGACTCTCAGACTGACGCCTGAGAAATCCCGAGCCCAACCCTTTAACCATCCAGCCTGAATGCTGCGCAGGTAACACACGCACAAATATGTAATTTTGAAGGACAGCTGAACGTGGCATGCATGAAGAAGAAAGCACGCGTCTCTGCTTGGGCCCGTTTTTGGTACTGTATGGGGAATATTTAGGCCTTTGTAGGGTGCATGGTCTTGAGAGTGAGGGGTTCTCCACTCTATTGGCCGTTGGCCCAATCCAGAGTGTTCAGATTGGATGGCCCGAAGGACCCGTCCTATAACTCTGGCAAATTCGTCAGGAAGATGCTGTTGCAACACTCAGGTACAAATCAACTTAATCTGCCCCAGACAGCTATGCAAGCCCAAGAGCTCCCTACAAAACCACGTAAAATCCTTCAAGCAGGGGTTCTACTCTCTGGGGGACGGTAGGTTGGATTGTAGATTGCAAGTTTGCACTGGGCTTGCGGCATCAGTATCCGCGCATGGGGCGGGAAGTCTGAGCAACTTTGGACATACTCCTGACCATGGGTGCGCGCTTTTGCAGCTGTTCCTTTCTGGTTGATGCGATGATGGGAGGCTGCCCATTCTTGCTGGAAGGGTACCTTACAGACCTGACGCAAACGGCAGCGACACTCGTGGGCTTTCTGCACGCAAAGGGGAACCTCTAAAAAATGTGAAACACGTAATTGAGATGCTTTCAGAAAAAATGTGGCTCCTACCGTGCATCGGAAGGCCACATTGACATGCCCAGGACATTCCAGTTTCAACTGCTCTTGGCTTTCAAAAAGCCTCCTTTCGGATGGACCTACTGACTGCTGCATACACAGTCTTATCGTAAGAGCAGGGGATGCACAAACATGAGGTTTCTACCTCGTCTAACCAATCCAGATACCGGCGTCCTGACAAGTTCGCCGCATCAAGGCAGCAACAAATCAAAACACACCTACTTCACACGCAGGAGGAATGTAGTAGTTTCCCAATTTAATGGGGCCCCAATATAGACCCCAATATAATCACTATATTCCTTATTATGGGCACCCCCAAAAAGGTAC